AATTTATACACTTTTTGTTGCCATTATAATTGTCATCATTTATAATACAACAACTGTTTATATATAATTTCCATTGCATTGTTAGTCTATGTAATCTATAGATGATATAATGTATATTGGTGCATGTTCACAGGTTATACAGGAAGCCTGCACTTTTTATATAGGCACTTGAACATCTGTGAATTTTAGTATTTACAGGGAGTCCTAAAACTAATCCCTCTTAGAAATCTAGGGACTACTATGTGTGTGTGTGTGTGTGTGTGTGTGTGTGTGTGTGTGTGTGTGTATTTGGTTCTGTCTTTCTGGAGAACCCTAATACATTCTCTATTTGTTTAGTCTTTTCTAATTTCTCAGCTTATTCAGAACTCAGCCTAAAGGACAAAATACTATTTATTGGAAGTCATTTTAAAAAATGAATATTTTTTTCAGTGTATGCCAAAATTGCACTTGAGTTTTTTGTTCATCTTCTCATTTAATTATTACACTTGGAAAGTTATAAAGCATTATTCCCATTAGGGTCTGGAGATAGGGACTAGACAAAATAAAATAATCTTTTATACTGCTATTCTCTATTCCTGTATCCAAGTTGAGAATAGGATGGTACAAATATATTGATTTTTGTACCTTGAACCAACCTTACATCCCTGGAATGAAATCCACTTGATCATGGGGCATTATCTTTTTGACGTGTTTTTATATGCAGTTGCCAGTATTTTATTGAGAATTCTCACATCTATATTCATCAAAGATATTGGTCTTAAGTTTTCTTTCCTTGATGTATCTTTGTCTGGATTTGGTATCAGGGTAATACTAGCTTCATAGAATGTGTTTCAAAGAGTTTCTCCTTTTCTATTTCATGGGATGATTTGAAGAAGATTGGCCCAATACTCCAACATATTGTCTTAGGAACTGAATTCCTTAACAAGACTCCTAAAATACAAGAAGTAAACTCAAGAATCAATAAATGGGATGGAACCCACCTTTTGAAAAGCTTCTTCACAGCATAGGAAACAATTAAGAGTGTGAAGAGAGAGCCTACAGCATGGGAGAAAATGTTTGCCACCTGTATCTTAGATAGAATATTATATTCCAGGATATATAAAAAACTCAAAAATCTTAATGCCAAACAAACAAACAACAACAAAAAAAACCCCACAAATAACCCAATCAATAGATGGGCAAAGAAACTGAATAAACACTTCACAGAAGAATACAAATGATCAACAAATATGTGAAAAAAGTTCAACATCTCTAGAAGTTAAAGTTATGCCAATTAAAACTACACTCACTTTAATAAAAATGGCAATTATTGAGAATACAAGTAGCAACACATGTTGGCAAGGATGCAGGGGAAAAGCTACACTCATATATTGCTGGTGGGACTGCAAATTGGTGTAACCACTGTGTAAAGCAGTATAGAGATTTCTTGGAAAACTTAGAACGGAACCACCATTTAATCCAGTTATCCCACTCCTTGGTATGTAGCCAAAGGACTTAAAATCAGCATACTATAGTGACAAAGCAAATCAATGTTTATAGCAACTTGATTCACAATAGCTAAGCTATGGAACTAACCCTAGGCACCCATCAACAGATGAATGGATAAAGAAAATATAATAGATATACACAGCGCAATATTCCTCAACAATAAAGAAGAGTGAAATTATGTCAATTGCTGCTAAATGGATGGAGCTAGAAACTATCATGCTAAGTGAAATAAGCCAGTCCCCTCCAAACAAAGGCTAAATGTTTCTTCTGATATGCAGTTGCTAGCACAGAATAATGGAGGGGGTAGGGAAGAATAGAAGTTCATTGGATTAGACAAAGGAAAAGGGAAAGAAGGGAGGGAAATGAGAGTAGGAAAGACAGAATAATGAATTAGATATAACGTTCCTATATTCATATATGAATACATGACCAGTGTAATTCCACAGCATGTACAACTACAAAAATGGGAATTTATACTTTGTGTATGTATAATATGTTAGAATATGTTTTACTGTCATGAATAACTAAGAAAAAACAAATAATAAAAAATAAAATTGTGGTTCCCCAATTCTGTCATTTCTTCCACATGCATTATGATAATTTTTCTGCAAAGAGAGACTTTCCTTCAATTTTTATGTCTACTGGCTGTTTTCTAAACAGGAAAGAGTACAAGTGCTCATATATTTCTCTTTACTTGACAACTTTCAGAGTAAGAAGTTTGATATCTTCACTAATGACTCATGAGCACTTTAGTTTTTGCTTTTCCATATACCTCTCCATTTTCAATATTATTATGAACTCAGGGATTTTGTATAGTGTATATTTTAATCAATTGCAACTATTATTCCTTTTGTTGATAAATTTTTCCCATCTTTTGCCAATGAAGAGAGCCTTTGGATTACTCCTGTGTGCTATTATATGACTCCCTGTGTCTTTGATAATTTGCTTTCTGGCATAAGAAGATGCTGAGATTCATCCTTTCTATACATACATGTCTGTTGTGCCCTTATCCTGGATTCAGCCTTTCCTCTAAGGATGGCTTCTTGTTCTGGGAGTGATTTCTGATAATATTACTATAGTATCTAGGCCTTTTATGGATAGAGCTAGGAAATATCTATGTAAAAAAATTAGAATCATGAATTTTCCACTCATTTTCAAGTTAATTAAGCATGTTTTTAAAACTGAAAACTTTGCATCTCAATTTTACACTGAAATTCTAATTATCTAACGTCATTAATATATTCATTTACTTTATCCAATAAACCAAAAATATTTGCATAATAATAATACTAGTATTACTTATCTATACATGTACTCAAGAATGGTAATAAACAATATATTAAGTTCATTGGATTAGACAAAGGGGAATGAAGTAATGGAAGGGGGAATGGGAATAAGAAAGACAGTAGACTAAATTGGACATGTCTTTCCTGTGTTCATTTATGAATCCACCACTAGTGAAAGTCCACATCATGTACAACCACAAGAATGGAATCGCAATTAGAACAAGTTATACTCCAAGTATGTATAATATGTCAAAATAGATTCTACTGTAATCTATATTTAAAAACACAATGTGTTAGTGGTTTATACATTTACTTTTACAATTATTTTATAGTGTTCTCTTTATACTTAAAAAAAGTTTACTGTATTTGGTGAACTCTTTTTATCAATGGTTGTGGTCTTGTCAAATTGAAATAGAGTGTCAAATTGTGCACTAGTCATGGAGGAATAGTCTTGTGCAGTAGGACCAGCACGGATCCTAGAAAGTTTAGAAAGATTTACAAAGACTATTGCTTTGGTTTTCAGGATTAGTTGTGTAATATCTCTGTACTTTATATATTTTTTGTGAGTAGGGTCGGGATGCAGTTTTTTTAATGTATGTATATATTATTTTCTGAGAACGTTTGTTGTGAAGACTGTCTTGTCCTCATTGTTCCATTTATCAGAAGCACGTGTCCATATTTGCAGGGCCTTTACTCTCTCCTCAATTCTGTTTCATTGATCTTTAACTCTTTTTTTATTTTTTTGCACCAATGCCACAGTCATAAACGGCTGTAAGGAAAGTCTTGCTGTTTGGAAAAGTTCTTTAAACTTATTTCTTTCTAGTAGTATTTTGATTACTTTTGGCATTTTATGTTTTCTTAGAAAGTTTTGAATCATATTGTCAAATTATATACAACTCAGTGCACACATATAATCTGTTAAGACTATGATTGGAGTTGCATTGAATCTATACAATGCTTTAATCCTTGAGGTTGTGGAGTTTGTATATGTATATAGAGATCTTAAATATCCTGTCTTGTATTTAATCCTAACCATTGAGTTAACCACCATTTTTAATTTTTTTAGTTGTAGTTATACATAATACCTTTATTTCTTTTTTTATGTGGTGTTGAGGATGAAACCCAGTGCCTCACATTGTGCTAGGCAAGTGCTCTGCCACTGAGCCATAATTCCAACCCAAGTGTCTCTTTTTGATAGTTTACTGAGCTGTACTTTGAAGTTTTGTGCATATTTGTAAGACATAATAAATATTTGACAATAGTAAAGATTTTAAAAATACAGTAGATCAAAAAGTACCAAATATCTAGGATTAAGTATAATGAAAGATGTACATAATCTCTATGCAGAGATACCATGTAGTTTTAATTGTGTCATATAATTTTGACTTTTAAAGAAGCTGTTAGGTTTTGTATATTGAACTTGTGTGAGGGCACCTTCTTCTACTTAGGCTTTTGATTGTTTCCTAAGGGGATGATGAAATAGGAGCAGTTACTCTGTTCTTTTCTGACATGTACTGCAGTTCATGGGTGGATAGAGCTAGTGAGAGGTTCTTGGGTTTGTATCTGACTTAGTAAGAAATGATTTTTGTGCTTCACTCAAGAAGTGATGTTGCTTGTAGTTTGGGGGTAGATAAATTTTCTCAAGTTAGGCAACTTTTGTTTATTTCTACTTTATTATTAGTTTTCTACACAACATATGAAGGATTTTTGTTCAGTTTTTCTGAAATGTTAGTTTTAATTTTATCAATTTTTTGTTTTAAATCAGGTAACAGTGAAATGTTGTCTAGAGGCCAAACACAACTACCACTTTTTTTTCCTGCCTATGATCTCAGAATAGTTTTTGCATTTATGAACAGTTTGTGAAAATAAAAATAATAATATTTCCTGACAAGTATAAATTATATGAAATACAAGTTTCCTTGTCCATTCATTAAATTTTATTGAAACACAACACACTCATTTGTTCACATGTTATCTGTGGCTGCTTTTGCACTACAGTGGAGAGTAGAGCAGTTGTGACAGAGGCAAGATAGCCTGCAGATTCCAAAATAGTTACTATATATACCTTTAGGTATGTTAGGTGACTGTTTTAAAGCATCATGACAATGACATGTTTATTCTTTTCTACTTTTCCGTTGGTTCAGCCAGGAGTAACCAAAGATCATTATCCCAAATTGCTTCAAATATGAAAACACTCATTATCACACATATTCATGCTTCAGGCATGGTAAGGTCATTCTTAATATATGATTTTTTAAACTTTTTATCTTATCTCCATTCTTATTGTCTTTCTTTAAGTTTCTCACAAACAATCCCATGGATAGGTTCTTTTATGTTTGATTGTCTTAGTCCTTAAAATGAATAACATTTCATTGAAAATACACAAGGGATGTGAAAATTGGTTCCTAGTGACTTTGCAAATATTTTCTTTAGCAAATGTAGTTTAAGAACATGTTAATCTGACTTCCAATCACAACATCAGGTGGGTGGACATTATTGGTGCCATATGCAATGGTCATGTCCCAGGCATCAATGACACTCACATTGAGATCTTTGAAAATGTCATTCAGGGTAAGATACTGAATGTAACCATGGAAGTCTCCAAACCACTCTGTTTCTAAGTGCATCTCCCTGATATTTTCTGTCTTAATGATCACTTTAGTGTCTGGGCTTCTTAGGAATAGTCGTTCAATAGCTTTTCGAACACTGATGGCCCTGCGAATGAAAACATCAATGGGGAAGGGTCTGAAGTGTTGGCCAAAGGTTATGACAATGGCTGTGTTTTTGTCACCTGAAATCTGGTCAATTTCCTGAGGGATATAACCTGCATCTCTCACAGAGTAGAGGTGAGAAGTGATAAAAGGATAGATATGTTTTTTCCATTGTATCTGAGTATGTCTTTCAGCATCCAGAAGCAAATATTTCTTAAAAGGTCCAGTTCCATGAAGATCAAAAAATTTCAGTGCTGATTAAAAAAAAAGTAAGATCTTTAACTAGAAGGCAGTGATTGATACTTTTAAAAAGAATATCTATCATGTCATGTATAATCACCATCTATAGTATTTTTGTTGGGAGCATTCTACCCTCTGGGATAAATTACAAGTTTATATGTATGAAATGTCAATCAAAATGTAAAGTTTTCATTGGCATTTATAAGGAGTCAACATGTAAAGTTTTCATTGGCATTTATAAGGAGGAGCAACATTTCTTATGAAAGAGGAAATGAAATAGATTTTAAATTGAGACTTAACTCTAGAAAGAAAAAATGAAATTACCAACCAAACAACAACAACAACAACAAACAGCCTAAGTGAGAATAGATGGAGACCTCATTGAAAGTACTTTATGATTAGCCTGAACTTCCAAAAGAACATTAAGTAACTACATACTTTTTGCAACTCTGGGTAAGTATTGGATCCACTGACGAAGTGTGGAGTCTCCCAGCAGGTAAATGAGTTTTCCTTTCAAGCAGCCATTGATCTTGTTTGTATCTAGTTGAATCTGGTTGCAAAATGTTGTTATCCACCTTCCTTGTAAAGTGTATCCACTGGGGACTGGAGTCTTCTTTCCAATTTGGCATTTCTCTGTGCTCTTTTCTCTCTCTAGTGACAGAGATCCCATGGTGAGTGGTGTCAGTGGCCTGTGTCAAACACCCAGCCTCCTCTTTTGGTCCTTCCCTTTCTTGGTCCCTTTCTCTCTCCCTCTACTTTTGTCTTTTGTCTCTTACTGGAGATTTTTTTGACCGCCAGCTTGTTTTAGGCACTGCTACTCTTTCTTCTGAGAGATTTTGAGTCATGCTGACTCCTCCCTGTTCATTTTGTCCCACCTGTGGCCATTAGCAAAGTCTCCATGTCCTTTCCTTTCTTTGCCATTCCTCTGATTCTGCAGTGACTTAATTTGGTTCTCTAATCTGAATGTCAGTGAACTACCCATTGGTGTCTTTGTTATTGAGTCATTTACATTTGTTCCATCAATGAAAGAATAGTATGAGTTTTTCATGTTTAAAAGATGGCTTAAATGTAACGTGTAGCTTTTAAAAACTTTATAGGGCAGTTTCCTGCCCTATAAAATACCTAGATTGACTTAATGCAGTTTTTAATAGGACTTAAATAAAATGTGTCATGCAGCACCCAACAAAAACCATGATTCTGAGATATTGTAGCCTGCTCCTTTGTAGCTGCAGGCTCTGTCGTAGTCTGTCTTCAAAGGTATCCCCCCTGGCAGAGCACCAACTCTTTGATGTGGCATAACAAAGGTCATCAGATGTCTATGTCATATTTCCTTGCCATTCTCTATGCTGTTGAAAATTGTCTCATCTTTTAGGTTTTTTGTTTTTATTTTATTTTTTTTACGACGCTTGCAATTGGACCCAAAGTCTCATACATTCAAAGCAAGCACCCTTCCACTGACCTGTATGGCCAGTACTCATAATTTAGATTTTGTTACATCAGCATTTCTGTATTACATTTACTTCCTGTACTGGATAGGAAACAAGTAGAATGCTGTAAAATAGGCCAAAATAATGTCTTAAAATTGGAAATGTACTGTCCCTCACAGAACAGTTTCAGAGTGACCAGGCCAAGGTTAATGTGTTATTGCATCTTGTGAGGGACTTCTCTGTAGAGAATCAGATGTAACTGCGTTACTATTACTGTCCTTGATGGAGTCCGCCTGCAAACGGGATATTCTGTCAAGGTATAGATAAGTAACAGCGGACATGCTTGAAAATGAGGTGTCTGCTGTCCTTGGGAGGACTTGCCTGCAAACGGGATGTTCTGCCATGTGGGCTAGGAGGGCGCTGGGAAAAATTTTATTATCTGTTCTTAACAAAGAGCAGAGCTCAACATACTCCAGGCCTAGAATAGATTAGCCATGAGAAGCGGGTCACTTCTGATTAGGAAGTAAAACTTCTGTATGCTATGTTTAATTAGCGGAAAGACTTGATTTATTGATGTTGGAAAGCTGCCTTCTTTGTTCACAAAACTATAAAAAGATTGCTTGTACACAATAAAGGACTTTTTTTTTCTGCTGCTGCTTTGCTTGCTCTGCTTCTTCTTCTTTCTTTTCCCATGCTGACCTGCAAGTGAATAACTGCAACACTTCTCTTTCTCTTATCTTGTTGTTCTACTATTGTTAACATTTGGTTTTAGTCTTTCAGTCTAACAGGGAAGTTTCCTTTCTCACATTTTACTACAGTTCAGCTAGTAGCAAGGAGACAAATGGAAGAGGAAGGCAAGTTGTTTTGCCTTTAAAGGCATTACTTATAAGTTCCCCAGGCAATTCCTGTTCATACTATTAGAAAAAAATTAATGTGATCACAAAGTAGCCACAAGGAAAAGTGGCCATGGTTCCAGCTCACATAATGGTTACTCTTACTAAAAAGGAGGAAGGTATGGATATTGGGAAATTACCAGCACTCTCTGCTTTATCTTCCTTGTTAAGTCCCTCATAGACCTTGCAGTCTATGGTTGCTAATGTCCACAGAATGGTATATTACAAATGGATATACTGAATAGTCAGCCCTCTATATCTATGGGTTCTCTATCAGTGCGTTGCACATAATAATGGATGGAAAACATTCAGAAAAACTTTTACTTTTATCAAATGTGTAAAGATCTTTTTCTTTTTATTTTCTAAACAAAATGGTATGCAAACTATTTACAAAGAATTCACATTGTTAGGCATTGTAAGTAATCTGGAAATGATTTAAAGTATATGGGAGCATGTACCTAGGTTATGTGCAAATACAATGACATATTATGTAGGATTTTTTGAACACAGTGGTTCTCAAAACCAAACCCCCATGAATACCAAATCTAGGTGTAATTGGTAGACAGAGTGGCAAAATGGTACTGTTTTCAGAACTAAAAAATGTGGACTGGGGGTGTAACGCAGTCTTAGAGTGCTCGTCCAGCATGGGTGAGGCCCTGGGTTTAATGTGCAGTACCACACCCAAATTGAAAAATGTACTTAAAATACTTCTTAAATCCTGGTGGTTTCGCTTGCTAAATGGAGCCTTCCTAATCCTATGATTTTGTTGGAATTTCAATGTGAACTTGTTGGGCTCCTAGGGGGCTTGATAGCTCTGCATTATGCATGATTGAATACTATAACCCTAGAAACTTGAGACTCACAGTTACTAAATATTTTCCATCTCCATATTTTTTATTAGATTACAGATTGTGATGGGTACACTATACTCCCCAAAGATATTTGGGTTCTAATTCTTTAAATCTATGAATATGTTGCCTTCAAGAGGGAAAAAAAACAGATGGCAAAAGGGATTTTCCAGATGTGACTAAGAATACGGGTTTCGAGATGGATAATCTAGGAAAAGGAGTTCAGTCTAATCTCATTGGTTCTCCATGGTGGAAGAAGGAAGCAGCAGGTGGACTAGAAAGTTGTAACTTGAAGACTTGACCTACCATTGTGGCTTTGGAGATGGTAGATGACACTAAAAGAAAGAAAGGCAGCCATTATAAAGAAACTGAAAGTTACAACAAATTCTTCCTTAGAACCTCTAGAAAGGAACACAGGCCTGTTCCACCTTGGTTGTAGCTCAGTGAGGCAGATGTTGTGCCTTGGGATAATAACACTAAGATAATATGTTCTTTTTACTTAAAGCCACTTGTTATAGCAGCAAGAAAAAACTAATGCTGAGGAAACTGATACCTTCTCAACATGAAATCATCCCAAACAGAAAGAGTATATTTTCTTTTATGTATAGCTTTTATTTTATGTCACATAGTAACATTTTAAATTAAATTGTCTTTGTGTAGGTCATGCTTATTATTTTCAGTTGTGAATTTGCTTTTTAAAACAAAAGGAAGATCATACCACTGTCTTGCATGGTTGGTCTCAGTGGCTTTCTTTAACCTTCTAAATAAACACTCTAATCCTCAGCATAGTTTATTTACTTAGCTTATTCCTGTTTTTCTAGCTCTATATTCTGCTACATTCTACCATATGCTCACTCCATTGGCTTATGAACACAATGTCTTACATAATTTTCCTTATGAGTAATTACACAGTAAAAATGTTCTCACACTAAAAATACAGGACACTTAATTATTCTAGTGAAAGACCTTTTTTTAGTGTATGAGTTTTGCAATATTTTTCCTTTATCTCAATGTACATATTCAGTGGCAATTAGAAATTACTTAAATTTTAACTGATTCCCTGTATTATGTATTTCAATCTGGCAACTCTACAAATGATCTTTTTGAAGTTTCTGACTATTGATAACCTTCAGGGCTCCTTCAAATATATTTAAATTGAAAATAATTTAAAAATGATAAGTCCCAGCTTCTTATGATGACACATAAACCCCTTATCACAGAGCCTCTACTTCCCTCTTTAGCCATATTTCCTAATATGTTCAACTTTCCTACATACTTGTATTTTGTATTTTGCTTTCTTCATAGAGTTGGTACATTTATAGCAAGAACTTTTTTTTAGATCACAAGCTCTGTTTTTTTTTTCATTTGCTCATGGTGCCTCATATCTATCAGGCCCTCAGTAAACACTTGAGGAATAAATGAATAAATATTGACAATATATCATTATAAGTTGCCTAGGATACTAATGTTACTGGTAAACTCAGGCTTTATAAACAGTTATTTAAAGCTAAGTTATAAATAAATATAAACAGTATACTTTCATATATAACATTGCTCTGTATTTTCCATTAAAATATTTAATAAGATGGAAGCTCCATATAAAATTAAGTACACCAACTAAAATCAGGAGGTCATGCTGGCAGATATCAGGAAACTAAAACCAGAGTATTCCCACTCTGAAGCTATCAAAGGCATTTGCACAGAACCTCAGACTCTGGGAGATGAATGTAGGATATTTTACCTTCTTTTTTTAGGATAAATCAAGATGAAATCTGGAATGAACAGGATGAACTAATTTCCTTGAGTCGATTTCTCCCTATGAAGTCTAGAATGATTAAGATCACTGACACCCTCTAGGGATTATGCTCCTGGAAAAGCACAACTAAAAGAATTAACACTGATAATTTTTCTCTGTGTAAGACACATGCCAAACATTACCCATCACAGGAAAAAGTGGACTTACTGTTACAATGGGAGACATTGATATGTTCAAGATCTTTCATCATTTCAACTCCCACTTTGGACCTTCAAAAAATAAGACAATAGATTAGCCTGTTGTGTGTCTACATAGCATACGCACCAGGCAATACTTGCTTATTTTTAAGCAAGGATATTTTTAACTTTCTTTAACTAAAAATTATTATTTCTGCTGTATATTTTGGATAAATTGAGTACTGTAGATAAATTGGGATTTTGAAAGATTTTCTCTTTTGCTGGGAGCACCTGAAGTTGAGGGCAGCTCTACTCATCTGTTACATGTAATGATATGCAATAGTGTGTCATAGAATTTTAAATTCATAATATTATTTAGTCTGCATAATCTCTATGTGCCTTCACATCAACTATTCAAGTTCATGAAATACATTTTTTAAATTACTGTGAACCTGTAATTGGTCAACCTAATTTTTATCTCACCTAATTTCTCCAGCACATCTACCAGAGCACCCTGTCCAATTGCAAATGCAACTGCTTTATTCTTTAAACACCTTGATTGTCTCCCTATCACTTTCTGCAGGAGGCCAGGCTCTTTACTGTGGCACATAGACCCCTTATAACAGAGCCTCTGCTTCCCTCTTTAGCCAAATTTCCTGATATGTTCAATTTTCCTACATATTTGCTTTCTGAGGATCATGTGAAGAAAGGTAACCTATTGTCTGTGTTCACTGCTGTATCCTCAGTATCCATCAATGTGGCTGTCAGAAAGTAGTGTTCACACTGATGTGTGGATAAAAGAACAATGTATTTCTTTCCTCCACTTGATGAAGACTTACTCTTCCTATGTCAAACTTCTTTTCTTACCTCTACCCTCTCTTTTCTTCAACCCAACATACATTGTGTGTAAATAGAGGCAGGCAGGGAGAGGTTATGGGGAGGAGGGCTCAGGTACCCAGTACAACAGATGTACTCTGTTCTCTGCTGGGGGGGTCTTTTTAGGCCCAGTCATGAAAGAAAAGGGTAAAACATGGTCTCATCCTTGCTGTGATTTAGACATGAGGATGATTAGTGCTTAGAAGGAGATTAAAAATAAAACAGTGAGTACAGAGAGACTTCTCATGTAATTTTTTTTTTTTTGTGTGTGTGTGGTCTTTCTTAGGACTCTCATCATTTCCTCATTATGGTGGAGGTAGTGAATATGATACTTCAAAGAGTTCTGCTGATGTTAACGTTCAACATCTCTTTTAGTTATCTGGATAATGTCTATAAATACTCCACAAAGGTGGGAACAGTTTTCTCCAGTTTGGTGTGAAGCCTCCACCTGTGACTCCAGCAACTTAGAACTATAAGTCAGTTCTTACCCTTCCCTCCTACTCCATTCTGCGTTCTTTCTTTCCTTCTCTGCCTCATTTCAGAATGGTGAATAGTTTGAGATTTAGTGAGTTGAATAGATAAGAAGTCAAAATTTGGAAAACTGGGTAAGATTGTGGAATACATTTTATTTTCCAGGCTTGGTCTCTGCTCTAATTTCTCATAAGCATATTTTTGAAAGCTTAAGGAAAAAAAGAATCTGAGCTTGACTTTGGAATTTTCTAAGAGAGAAATTGCTCAGAATATAACATTGTACTGTCACCAAATGAAGGGAAAATAAGTCATCATGGGGTAGTCAAACACATTTTGGCAGACTGGAAAGTGTAAAGGAGGTAGATTGAGGCTTATGGAAAGTTTGAAAATGAATAAAAAATTCTAGGACTAATAGGTGTCCAGGTTGGCTCCCAGTTTTTGGATTTGTGATGAGAATCTCCTTTTGAAAACCATCAAAGTGGCCCATGAAGAAGTCCCAAGAGTTCATTCTTAGGAATAAAGCATTTCCCATTTCAATGGAGAATAAGGAGATTAGAGAGTGAGCATCTGTTTGTTTGTGAGCAGAAGGAGAAAAACCTAGTGTGGCTACAGCCAAGATGGATAGGGGAAACATGGGCACCGAGGTTAGAGGAGTCTGTTCAACCAGGGCTTCCAGGACCTGATAGGTCACAATGTGGAGAGGTAGAAGGACTCCTCCTGGAAATGACCCACAGGAGTTGGCTTTTTAGAGAGATTGCTCAGGCTGCAGGATAGAGTAGATTCAAAGAGGATGTGATTGATGATGGGAGGGAGACCAAGTGGGAAGCCATTAGAGTCATTAGGTGAGATGATGATGGTCTCAACTTGGATAGCAGCACTGGAAATGGAGAGAAGTGGATGAATGAAAAAGACACTTAAATAGCATAATCTGTGAAACATGACATGGGAAGTAAAGGAACATGATCTTATATGTTTATCAAGGAATCCTTTTTTGGTGATGTATTTGAACATATAACAGAAATGTTTTCCATGGAGCATATTTTTTTTAAAAAAAACCTATGTCTATAGTAAAATATATGGTCAAATGTGACAATACTGGTTTCCTTGAGAAGTACAGGCATATATATTATATAGTTCCAACTTATGTAGCCTGCCTTCAGCTTATTTCAACCAAAATGCACACTATGGTGTGCTGTCATGGGCAATGGTCTCCATGCAGATACTGTATGTCTGATTTTAACCTTTAGAATAGAGGAGGCATCTGAGAAGATCCTGCTTAATATTGAGACAGGCAATGTAGCTCTGTTTGGGGACACCACTCATTGTATTAAAATATACTTACTTCTGGAAAAGCCTTTTTTCCTTGGCAGAAAGATAAGAAATTTCTCTGTTCATGGTGAACACATGGGTCAGGGCCTCACAGGGCATGTGTTGAGGCTTCATGCAGTAGAAGGCTTCCTGGTCTCTCCCGTACAGGTAGGTGCACAGTTCAGAGCTAGAGTTTAGGGTCAGGCCACATTCAGTGAAGACTTGGGAGGTGCCATTAACAAATTTACCTTTGAAAATAATTTTATCATAGCCTTGGTTCCTTGCCCTCCAGAGAGCCGACACCCCTTCACTGGGGTGGATGAGCAGGAGAGACAGGGAGACCTGGCCCTCCCAGAACAGAGTGAAGCTGACAAGGTAGGTGCCATTGTGGAAGTCTGTCACCTTTCCTGAGGCACCTGCCTTCAGGGCTGGGGAGGACATCCTGGCCCTCAAAAAGTCCCCTCCATATTCCTTCCTGCGTCCCAGGTGGTCCCTGGCCTCCAGCAGGATGTCTAGCTGGTCCCCCCTGCAGTATGTGTCCCTTGGGTGGAGGAGGGTGGCTGTGCTGTGTGTGGCACTGGTGGTGGTGTCCTCATGGGTGAAGGGTCTGGGCGGGATCAGCTGGTCTAGTCTCCCCAGGATCTCCTTTATTCTCAGCTCAGTCTCTGAAGGTGAGGTTTCCCCTTGTTTCTTGGCAATACAGTTTCTCAAACTGAAGGAGAACTGAAGGATTGAGGAGAAAGGATATATTTACTACCAACAGATAATAGGGCTTGCTTTTCAATATAAATTAGCATGATTCATTTTATAAATTTCCACAAGATTAAGTTACATGTCAGTGTTGAATTCAAACTAGTTTTCAGTTATGAAATTATAGGAATTGATTTCCAGGTAGTGTGACTTCCTCTGCTGCCCAACAGATGGATTCTTTGGGGGTCATTGGCTTAAAAAGTAACTGGATAAAATAAATATCTGTATTTTCACTATTTGATCTTATTGTTTTCACTTTGCCATCTTTCATTTATGTTTTCCTTATAAAAACCTTATAACGATTTTTATACACAATATGGAAAACAGAGCAAATATTATAAAATATGATCATAAGTTTTTCTGTCCTTTTAATAATATATATTTTAATATTTTAATATTTTCATTCTTTTCCTGTCATACGTATATTTTACCTATTTGTAATCATACTGTATATGTGGCTTTAATACTTTTGCAAGTAACATCATGTACTATAAATATTTTAATATTGTTACATAATTTTTGACTATTATTTTTAATTGTTGCATAACATTCCACCAATAACATGTAACACAGGTGCACAGCATATGGTGTTGGATAATTGGATTATATATACTTCTTTTCATTTTACTTAACACTTGAATAGTTTCTCCCTTTTATATAAAGATTCATGATTATATCTTCATGACAGTTTCCTGAAGATGAAATTACCAGATCATTTATTACTGAAGTAAATACTAAAGAATAGTTTTATTAATTTTGACTGATGAATTCTAAAGATTATATTTTATATTATCATCAGCAATGTGTAAGACTACCCTTTATGTCACACCAATGTCTTATTGATCAGTCTAGCAAATAGAATATAAGGGCTATAAATAATGTTTCTTACCTAAAGTAAAACAACAGACTTAGTCAATTGAAATATTTATCTAACTAACAATAAAGACCACCATATGCATCTGCATTATGAAGTAACTGGAGGGAATGTTTCTACTAATTTAAAACCTATTCAAGTTCCAAGAGTTTCCCATGCCAGAGAGGCCACTTACCCAGAGGCCTTCATGATAGCAGACTAAAATTTCTCAGGGGAACCAGGGTTACAAACCTACCCATGATGTTCATTGATTTGTTTGATTTTTGCTTTGTTCTATTTTCTAAATATAGACTGCTATTTGATATATATATATTGAACCTAGTAATTTCCTCTGTTACAACTTTTGTCCAAGATTTTCCTGGAACAAGATATTGAAGTGTGCCCACATAATTACATAGCAACATGTACATCTTAGTCTAAAATTAGATAGCTGTTTGGATAAAGGGTCTTACAAAATTCACCTTCTAATTAATGACTCTGGATAACCCCATGGTTACTTAGATAAAGGGATTATCCTCTTATATCACAGTTACATTTTTTGAAACATTTATTTTTTAGTTGTAGGTGGACACAATACCTTTATTTTATTTTTATGTGGTGTTGAGTATCAAAGCCAGGGTCTCATGCATGCTAGGTGAGCTCTCTTCCTCTGACCCACAATACCTGTCCCTCAATTTAAATGTTTGATTAAGTTATTCAACACTGTTAATAAAACTGATTTTAAATTTGACCAGTGAAAATGGAAAATTACTATTACATTCATTTTAATATCAGTATGTTTTCAACTTTATTTTTCTTGCAGTAGTTGTTTTACTAATGTATTTTTTTTTCTGAATTGCCCCAGTTATCTCACTCTTTTAACAACCTGGTATAAAACACACACATACACACACACACACACACACACACACACACACACACACACAAACTAGGATTGCCTTGTGGAACGTTTGTAGGTATCTCCATCAAAAAATATTCAGATATTATAGCTGTATCCTGCAGTGAAGTGGTATCAGGAGGTAAAGAACTTTAGGCAGGTGATTAGACAAGGGGGTAGGGCTCTTATGAGTGAGATTAGTGCTTTTATAAAATAAGACACAGCAGAGAAACCAAACAAAAATAAAGAGATCCTGGAGAGATCCTTTGCCCCTTCCACCTCATGAGGACACAATGAGGTGACTGTCTGTGAACCAGGAAGCAGGTTCTCCCGGATATTGAATCTGCCAGTGCCTTGATCTTAGACTTCTTGGCTTCCAGAAATGTTAAATAAATTTCAGCTCTTTATAAACCACTCAGTCTCTGATATTGTTAGAGCATCACAAACAGACTAAGACAAGGGTTTTATACAAATATACACATGTGCACAGGCACAAATTACTCATATGTACATACATATCCTTCACATATATGCATAATTAATATATATGGACCCTTTTTAGAAAACCTAATATATTTTGCTCCTTTTGATTCATCTAACCACATATCACCAATTTACTACATAATCCTTTTCTTTTTCATTTTCTCATCCAATATGTTCCATTCATTTGCAAAAGATTTTGAAGGACCTGGCTTCTAGTTCTCTTCATTACTGAAGCCCTGACATCCTCTAGGTAGATGGCAAGATCCATGGAGGCAGATCCTCTAACACCTAAGATTCTTTTTGCTTCTGAAGGTCTCAGACATCATATGACATATGCAAATTCAACTTCCAATAATCCTGCCCAACTTAAGTACAATCACACTTTTTCTTTCCTACTTTCTATACTTTTTTTCTGTCAGCTTCTTTTGTAAGAATTTAAATATATTATAATGTCTCCCATATTGTGGAGAGAAAACATTTAAGCCCCTTATCTCCTTTAATGGCTACCATACCTTTTGTTTGTCCTGAACCCCTACCAATCAAGTGTCTCAAGAAATCTCTTTTATCCCCATCCTCTCTCACTCTCTTCTCAGCCTGCTTCTTATTTTGCTCCTCAGAGTTATTAACAAACTTTTTGTCATTAACAAACTTTTTCTTCTCACTCTACAGCTGACCCACGGGAATGTCTCAGACTCCAATGACTTCAGCTGCTATTTGTAGTCTAATACTTTCTAATTCTAATATATTCTAAGCCAGGTCTTTTTCAGCCTTAGGTCTATTTATTGTACAATATATAGAAGCAACGTCTCCACTTACATCACTATAATGGACCTAGACCTAGACTACTCATAGCTAACTTTATCTTCTCTCCTCCAAGTATATTTCTCCCAGTGTGGTAGGAGAACTTCAATAAACGGCATCACCAGCCAAGCAGTTGTACAAACCTGGAATATAATGCCTGGTTAGCCCCAACTCCTCCCCTACCACAGTCAGTCACTCTAGCTGTCAATTCCATTGTTAAATTCATGGACTTTTCTCCCTTTTTATTATTAAGACCTTATTTCAAGTTACCATTACCTCTCAGATCAGATCACCAAACAGTCTTTCTTTACTTAGTTATTTATCAATTATTCATTAAGCATCTACAGTGTGCCAGATACTGTTAATGAATGAATAATGTGTAAATTCTTGCCTTTCTGGAGACCAAATAGATAATAATCAATGAACACCAATCAATAAATTATATAGTATAGTGAAAGTGAAAAGCATTATTGCAACATAAGAAGTCAAGCAGAATAAGAAGAATGAAAAGAGGTTGTATGAGCCTGATTTATTATTAAATAAAAGGTGTGCTAAATGGATGGAAGGAGGAGAAACTGGAAGCAAGATCAGTTAAGAAAAACTGCAGAAAGGGGAAATGTGAGAAAGGTTAACTGGACTACTCAGAAAATGATAAAAAAATTAAAACCCTGAGATGAAGATAGAGAACTGAAATGGAGATTTAATTGAATTAGAATCTCCAAGGCCAAGGGAGGAGAGAACCTTGAGGTGGGATGCTTGGCAGTGCCAAGTGGTACAGAGATTCACCTGTCTCCAAAATAAACAGTAATTGTGCATATATTGTCAAAGAACTAATGCTGAACAGAGAACCCTCTCCTCCACATTATCTGCTAAGATCACATGTTTTAAACATTTCTTCTTTCTTTCTTCGTTTCTTTCTTTCTTTTGGGGACTAAGCTAAAGGACACTTGCTCACTGAACCACATCCCCAGTCCTATTTTTTATCTTATTAGGAGACTGGGTCTCACTGAGTTGCTTAGTGTCTTGCTTTTGCTGAGCTGGACTTTGGACTTGTGATCTTCTTGTTTCAACCTCCCAAGCCACTGGGATTATAGGTTTGCTCTACTGTGCCTAGCTTAACTTTCATTTCTTGCCCCGATAATGGGGAACACTCAAATAAAGTCACTGTGACTATCTATGAAATTCTGAAAAAATTCTGAGACAATTCCTACCTTTGTGTGGCCTTTTGAAGTGAAGTAAATGACCCACAAAGCTAAGATAACCATCAGCATCAGGATGCATTTGTGAGGTTTGGCATTTGAAAACAACATAAGTATCCTAGAAGATAAATAATCGCATTAAGTCAAACCACCATAATGTATCTCTGAACACTTTGGTTCCTCCTCAGTAATTTCACAATGGGGTAATGTCCTATGTTTGCAGAAAGTTCATTTATTCTGGAAATCAGAAAGAAAGTTCTTCTCTGAGGCAGGAACACAACAGTTGAAGGACTCCTGGCTGCTTACTCTCAGGTTAATTCTCCAGGTATGGAGGCCCATCAGGTCACACCTTCTTCTCTCATCCAGGACTTGGTATGGACAGCAAGGAGTTAGCAATCAGTCACTCAAGGAGATATGTTTCTTTCCTGCCCCCTTTCCTGTCATTAGAGCTTACTAGTGAGGTCCAAAGGTACGCACCTATGGATGACTATCTGCTTCAGCATGTTCTCAGATTCACCTGTACCGATTTCAGCTGTCCAAAGAGTCTGCTTGGTCCAAGAGGTCTTTGCATTTATTTCAGGGTTGGAGTTTCCTCTTGAGCTTCATTGATTTCTCTGAGGCCACAGGAAGCTCTGAAGTTTGCTTTTACAGAAGATCATCTCAGGGAAGGGCAGGCTCAGTCACCTTTGGCAGAGTCTTTATGTACTCACGCCATGCATTTCCCTGCCCTGTGCCTTTG